ATCAATTTAATTGAATTAAGTTTTTGAAATAGGTGGCAACCCACTTCAAAAATATTTTCCAAATTAGGCTTTCTCAAATCTCTTTATTTTGACGCCCATTTTGCAACACTTCGTTTATGGTAGCAATTTCATTGAATTAAGCTGTTCCGACAGGTGGCAACCCTTTTAAAAAATATTTTAGATATTTTAAAAATTAAACTTATTTAATTTCTTTAGTTTTATATCCATATTAAATAATATGTTATTCATCTTATAAATATAATTGAACCACAATTTGAAACATGTGGCAACCCTCTTGGTAAATATTTTCTAAATTAAACTTCGTGCAGCCTCATTAGTTCCGTACGCATTCATTTATTTTATCATTTTGATATATCGAAATTTTTCGCTAAAAATACGAAAAAAATTGTTAGTATTAAAAAAATGGTAAAATAAAAAATTGGGTATTATTATTGAAAGTTTCCTGAAGAGAAACAGTATTTCGATCGGAAAATATTGATTTTCAGGAATTCTATAACGTTTCTGCGAAAAAAATTTTTATTCCCATATAAAATAGCTGAAAAAATTCATGGGTTTTGAGGCAGTTCTAAATATATTTTTTTTTACGAAAAAATACGGATATTTTTCCATTTTGAAAAATCCTAACAACCCACATTGGTTGACATGACCGGTTTCAGCGGCAGAAAGTCCATTTTTAAAGTTATGTTTTTGTTAAAACTAAGAATTGCACTTTGTAGGAAACTATTTAGAATACCCGAAAACGAAAAAATTATGACCAGGTGGCATCTCTGTTTTTATAACGAAGCTGTCAAAACAACAGTTATTTTTTCATCTTCGTTTTCTGTTGATTTACTTCAAAATAGTGAAATAGAAACATATGTTTTTTTAATAATAGTTGATATAATACAAATATCTAAAAAATGGAAATTACTTCTCAAGGTATGTATAACAATATGTTCTAATTATTTTCTAAATAAAAGTGTTGTGTTTGATGAAAATCTGCGTTAAAGTGTGTCGTGTTTGTAGTGACGTTTTGGTGGTGGCGTCTGTGTTTATTGGAATAGAACCGTCTTCATTCGAGTTCATTCGCAAAGTTATTTGTATCTGTAGATAGGTCAAGATGTGAGCTTTCATATCGTGAAAAAATCTTTTGCCCCAATTTACCCCAACTCATAATATAACTGATTTCAGGCACCATCAAAATCAACAATTCCGATATTGTAAGTTTTTGGTTAGAAAATAACCACAATGCAAGACGCGTTTTTAATTGGATATCTGCGAAATTTAATGGAAGTGGTGATGAAGACGTTGGAATATTTTGACGTAAGAGTTTATTTACAAATGTTAAAATAACAATTTTCTTAATTTTACCTTATCTTTCTTTACAGTTTGAATAAGTATTAATGAACCGTCTGGATAGATGTTACATATAAACCTTTCAGAGAATATTGTTTAAGTTATTTAAAGTATTTGAGCACAGAAATGAATTTGATTATATGATTTAATAAATATTAAAAAAAAAAAAATTGGTTGGACAATATTTCGACGGACGGACATATAAATCGATATAACTCCCCTATATATCGATCCAACTAGCTGATTTTTTCACTGTACACTTCTTTAACTGTCACTAATACATGTGCCAAATATTACAGCTCAAACTTCTTCCTATGAATTACTGCCGCTGAAACAGGTCATTTCGACCAATGTGCAACCCCTAGCTTAACATTTTAACTTTTTTTTAGACAACCCTAATGTAAATAAGTAGATAAACCTAGTCCATGCTCATATTACATACGTCAATAAAAGGAACTAAAAGGTAGCTGACAAAATTGCAGTGATGATTTTTAAAAGCTTTTGTCAGCTCTTAGTATATATGTACATACATACATATATGCAGCTGTAAGAGAATCGACTCAACATACTAAAAATAAATAATTTATTAAAATAACATTGTGAACGAAAACAACAAAAAAAAGTCACACTAGGAGTGCCACGACGCGCTCCAACCAAAATCAGTCATTTTAATTGGTTTACATTAAATGAAAAATTAAGCGAAAAAATTATGACAAATAAAAATTGTAGCAAAAAATTGTAACAAAGTGTGGCAACTGGAAATAAACTGTCACGATTGCAAATTTAAAGCGGCAGCGAACAAGCTAAGCCACTCAGCGGAAAGCCACAATGGGGCTGGTAACTGCCGCCAGCAAGAGCACCACTAATATCAGCCAAGATTTATTGCCGACAATAAAAACAATAAATAATACGTTTTCTCACCAGCAGCTACAATTGTTCTAAATGCGCGCGCCAAAGTTCTCACAACAAAATTTTAGCAGCATAAATATTTTGTGGCAAACATTCCGTTCTATCGCTGTTAAGTGCAAGTTTGTTAGAGGCTGGCTGCGCTCCTGCTGCTGCTACTGCTGCTGTTGCCGGTAGCGGGCGGTCCCGTGTAATGAAGGCTCCGCATTTTGGTAGCAACAAAAGGAAAACAATAAATCGCTAAAACTACTTAATGCCACAATGACGGCAATCACAGCGATGACGACGACGACAACTACAACGATGGCTAACGACGACGATGGTGATGGCGATGGTGATGGCGACAGCGACATTGCCACAGTTTAAGTTCAACAACAGCAACACAATAAACTGAGCGCGCATACAAACAAACACACGTTTGTATACAATTGTTTGCGACAATAGCCGCAGTTGATTTGCAGTTTCAGTTTCATTTATTTTGAAATCAGATTGTAAATCTCGACTTTGTTGAACGTTTACGATGTTTAGATTTATTTTTCTAGCATTTTTTGCTATCCTTCATTTATTCGGGGTTAATAACTTGCGCTCGATACCCTAAAGGTTAAGTTGGTGCAAAAGCAAAAGAAAAAAAAAAATGAAAACCAAAACAGTTGAATTATGACAATTTATGAAGTTTATTTGTTCGAAAAAAGTGCAATTTCAGCCGCAAGCTGTATTCACATATGAATAAATAGGAAGTCAATGGTGCAACCAGGTTGTGGGTGACAAAGCCACTGGTCACGCGTGAGACTCACAACTGGTGCTACTTACTTTTGGCGGTAGTAAGCTGGTTGAATGTTGAACTTATGGAGGGTGGTGTCACAGTATGCTGTGCAGAAACAAATCCATATTAAAAAATATTTATGTAAACACGTATATACAGTGGCCCAAACGAGTGTTCACACGGTAAATATTTTTTTTTATTTAAAATGTTTTTCAAGTTAAAAGTATTGTACATGCCTTAAGACCCAACTAGTGCCTCTGATCAAGCGTATAGGCAGCTCTGTAAGTGTTTGGTGTCATACCATAACACCGTAGCCATAACCATAACCGTTGGTATATTTTCCGTTTTCGTTTTTCGCCATAACCTTAAGCTAATCTGAAGCTTTTGACAAAGTGAACAAATGCACCTTTAACCAAAACTAAGTTCAAACTTTATACAAAATTTAGGATTATTAGAACAAATTGCGTTACTGTTGCAAACCTTTTATTCCGAATATTTTAAAACTTTGGGGTATGCAGTTTTATAGCGACAGCGAAGTCGGCTAAGATATCGCATTGATTTTTAATAATACTATGCCACCAGTCTATTCCGCTTGCAGGCGAAAATAGTTTCGATGATAAAGTAAATGAAATATTAAAATATGGGTATCAAGCTAAAAAGGTTTAAGAAATATTACTGTCGGAAGTATTTTTTGTGTGGTTATCACCTATTTTAAAAAACTAAACTTAGTTAAATTCATAAAATAAATTAAATATTGTAATGTGGGTGCCAAACTAAGACTTACTGTTAAAAGTATTTTTGAAGAGGGTTGCCACCTATTTGAAAATTTTAGCTCAGTTAAATTTATAAAATAAATGAAATATTACAATATGGGTATCAAATTAAAACGGTTTAAGGAATATTACTGTTGGGAACATTTTTGGGGGTTGCCACCTATTTGAAAATTTTAGCTCAGTTAAATTTATAAAATAAATGAAATATTGTAATATGGCTGCCAAACTAAGGCTTACGGTTGAAAATATTATTGAGGAGGATTGCCACCTGTTTGAAAATTTTAAACTCAATTAAATTGATAAAATAAATGAAATATTACAGTATGGGTGCCAAACAAAAAGTACTTGAGAACTTTTCATTTAGAAATAGTTTCAATAGGATTATCACCTACACGTGTGGCTAAAAGTAAAGGCTGAAAATATCGAAATTAAGTAAAATTCGTACCAAACGAAAAGTGTTTGGGAAACCCTTAGTAGGCAATTTTTTTGTAAACGTTTCCACCGGTCCAAAAGCCTAACGGTTTAAATGAAGAAAGAATTTACAACATCTTATCAAACGAAGTAATCATATTATCAACCAATAGTTGATATACAAATTAAGCAATGAAAAATAATAACACAAAAACGACTCATACAAATCTAAAAATTAAAAATAAAAAGCGTAATGAAAACATTTAAATATCACATGAAAAATCCTTAATGAAACCCTAAAATTGTTGACACCATTCCCTAACATTATTGAACATCGATATTTAGAAATTAAAAAGTAGTATTTAATTTAGCTCAATTTGCAGAATTGATTGGGGAATGACATCGACGATTGACGAACACTCATATAAATTTCTTATTGCCGTTTCAGTCCATGGGTAGCGTTCGTATGTGCCTTTTAATCGCTCGTAGGAGAGTTCCTTGGAAGCCTCGTCTTTCTCTTGCGTCCGGGACCCGGGTGCACATGAGCAGATGTTGAAGAATCTCACTGGGGTGAACAAGCATGACTTCTATAATAGACGTCGCAGCACCTCATGCATTGTTTGCCTTCCTCCGTCCGTCGCATTTCAGACATTCTATGTGCGTAGTCTTACATCAAATTTCATTAAATATTCGAGGCGCCCACCACAAATCCGATGAAAAGCTCAGCCAAACTCTGACATACATATTGTGTTAACGCCAATCTATTATTATTATTAATCGAGAAAACTCCATTGTCGTTAATAATTTTTATTACAAAATGTCCCAAGTGGTTTACATATGAACTGTTTTGCTTTGAAAGTCGCATAAGCCATTTCATGTCATATGACTTCAGTCATCATTTGCCAGTAACTTTGCCAGAACTATTCACGAATGCGTTCAGTTAGATTTAATTAACCATTTAGGCACAAAATGTCGTAATGATTTTTGCAGCTTTCAAAATAAATGGTTCATATGCATGCACGTATGTTTCCACAACCAATCAATTTTAAAATATATCGGACTGTTAAAATTTAAAATAGCAAAATTTCCTAACAAAATTGTGTTATTTTAAATTTTAACAGTTTGATATCTAGTTACACCAATCAATTTGAGCATTTATCGGACTGTTAAAATTTAAAATGAAGAATTTGTCATTTTAATTTTTAACAAGCTGATAAATTTTAAATTGTTTGGTACAACCGGGCATAAGTGTATTAGAAATTTTCAAAAACTCGTTTTAATTCTAGTTATGATTATGCCTTTTCTTCTAAAGGTGAGAAATTTTTCATTACATTACATTACATTTTTCCGTTGGGCGTATCATCATTTGCGCAAACTTCAAGGACTCATCCCTTTTCCAAGTTACGCGTTCTCCGTTATCCTTTTGAGAATAGTCGCCATTCAAATTGCTGAGAAAAACGGTATTTAAAATAGGTATGTATGTAAATCTATGCGTAAATATGCAAAATACACTTCAGTTCACCTCATATAACACTCTTTGTACCACCAAGCTCCTCTAAAAAATTCCGCGCAATTACCAGCAGGGTTTGCATCATTATCTCGATCGAATGTTGTGAACTTACTGCCTTCATGATACTTTAAAGAATCTCCAGCATTTCCTGTGTAATTACCAAGTGTTCGCAAAACATAATCTTCCTCTTCGCTACCAATGACGAATAAATCATATTTTGCATAGTACTTTGTGCCATCTAACCTTTCCATTTTTATATATAACTCTTGCTCAAAGCTCGCGGTAAGAGCGTGCAATTTATTCAAACCTATCCAATAATTGCCCGACAATTCACCAAATCCTTGCTTATATTGTTGCCAATCTCGATAGAAATCCACTTCCGCACTTAGGCGTCGCTGGATGACAATCCAACCGCCAAAGTCCGTATCCTCATCACACCACACCTTGAATGGCTCATCCCCAAATAGCTGAGATTTAATGGTATATATGCCACTTTTACGCGTACCAGCGGCTGCCTCCATGCAATTGGTGGGTCGGCTTGGACTATTTTGCAAGAAAGAAAATTTTAAAATTAGTACATTATCCAACTAAAGATTGGACAATGGCATCACACAGCGCACTACCGTTTTTGCTCAGTTTGCAGTTTCAAAATTTGTGCTGGAATTTGCTTCACAAGTTGCTGCAGTGACTCCAATTGGGTGTTGAAGTGTTTAACAACGTCTATTTCGAGATCACAGTTGCAGTCGCAAATATCTTCCAGTTCATTATTTTCACCCAAACAAGTTTTTATTCCGCATATTAATATGAAGTGCAATAGTATATGCGTTTTTAGATACATATTTTCTACGGACTGCAAAGTTTAGCGATTCGCACAATCGAGTGAGCCAAACAATACTGTATGATTTTTTTTCTTTCATTTGCTGATAATGATTCGCTTGCATTTTACATATGTATGTACCTACTTATATATAGTACTTAAAAGCAAAAATATGCATACATACATACTTAGGCTATATATGGGTTTAAACAACTATGCGATAAGCATAAACATATTTGATTGCCTCAACGGAAGCCTCGCTTTGTTTTATTTCATATCAGCGTTCACTTGTGCGCAAGGGTATTAAAATATTGATTTAAAATAAAAATCATCAAACCATCAGTGGAGGTTATTCCAAGCCTTATGAGGAGCAGCACAAGAAAGTGAACCGAAATGTCTAAAAATTCGTTTGGTGTCCTCCACAATTTTAACAGCGTTTAAGGTTGTGCTTAACATCACTCTACGTAGCCGTACTAGTTTTGGGTATACCCCAAATTTAGACATCATGCCGTACAGATAGCTTCTCTTTCGGCTATCAAATGGCCTATCAGGGTCTCGGGGCACCGGGGTTGCAATTTTATCAGTACGAATTGTGCTTAACAGCTGATATATGTATGTGCCAACCAGCTCTTCGCATAAACTTTGAATAGCTCCGCGAGAATCATTGTTTTTAGGCCGCATTTATTTTTGTTCTCACCTCATCTTGGTCAAGTACAGAGAGACGTGAGTATCATCTCTATATATGTATGTAGATTAGTGTAGGTTTTTCTTCATCAGACCTGTATTTCCGTATCAAAAGCGTATTCAAAAGCGTTGAAAATTGTTCGTTCCATTTCTCAAGTATTCCCCGGCCTCTGTTACCAGATTTACACCTTACAAGCATTGGATTGCTACTTTCTTTTTTGAGTGAACTTTCGTGCCGCATTCTTCTTTGATAACATCTCATGCTCTTCACATCGTCGCGTCTTTATCCTGTTGAATAGATTTTTTATTTATTTTTTGCCAGGTAAAATGCTACCTCAGGATGATGGAAATTAGAAAAAAAAAATCTAACAGCCGTCGCATAGTGGTACAAAACTGGAATTTACTGCTCATAATTCACGGGAGTCTTAATTTTCCAACCCATTAGATACAATTTTTTTAAGTGAAAGCTTATAAAATTGGAAAGTGCTAAATATTTGAATTAATTTTTTGCAGAAAAATGAGCAATGTTGAAGAATATCGGATCTCCTGTTCCAGTTAATAAATGCTTCATAATAAAAACTAGTTGAAAACAATTGTAGGGTTCCCCAAAATTAAAAAAATTTTAGGTAAAAATTTTAAATGTTATAAATAAATTAAAAAAAATGGTTTTTGGAGCTTTTAGAAAAATTTTGGTGCACAAACTCTTTGCCACTTGCAAGTTGTACTTTGTTGTACTAAAATTTGATAATCTATAAAACTGCATACCCAAAAACATTTAAAATATTTCCTGAGTTTTTTTCATTTTAGGGAACACTAAAATTATTTCGAGCTAGTTTTTACTATGAATTGTTTGTTAAATGGAAAAGGAGAATTGATTTTCACCAAAATTGCTACTCTTTCTGCCATTGCGCTAAAAAATTTAATATTAGGGTGAGGCTTCCTCAAGTGGGCACCGAATTTACCGACATTAATATTTTTCAATAATATTCAGGCAGCACCGAGTTTTGTAGTCGAAAAGTATACTGTGTAAATTTTGTTGCGAAATCCCAAACATATTTTTTTTTTATCAACAATTGAAAATTTTTGCAGTGTTTTGGAAATTTTTATTTTCCGTTGAAAGTTAGTATCGGAATGAAAAATTTTTTTGGGTGCAGATATAAATAACATTAAACTATACAAGGAAGTTATTTACGTTATAAAAATATTTTTTTTTTTGCTCTTCAATATTTTTTTTATGAAAAATTGAACATTTAAGCAATTTCTGCGCCTCGTGGACGACAATTTTTAACAACAAGTTATGTAATAAACATTTCTGCATTTATCTATGAAAACAAATACGTGCATTTCGATATAGTTTGGTCGGAATGAATTTTTATTTGCCAATCTAGGTAAATTCGGGGCCCACTTGAGAAAGTCTTACCCATTATCAAATAAAAATCGGCCCTTATTAAATTTTATAAGCTTTCATAAAAAAAAAAAAATATCAAAATGTGTGAAAAATGAATGCACTCCAGTGAATTATGAACAGTAAGTACCAGTTTTGCCGTCAGCAGGCAATGTCAAACATCCGATTGTATTTCTGCCATAAAAAAAATCTGCTCATAAAATCTATCTGCAATTCGGAGGCGCGCCGTTAAATTATAGGGCTCGCCATTTGTGTAACAACATCACGTGGCGCACCACAAATTGGAGAAGAAGCTCGGCCAAACACTAAGCTCAAGCGTTAGCGCCAAAATATTATATATTAATATTATTATTTTAAAACTTTTAAACACTGTGCTTCTTTTATTTGTCGCTCTTGTTCTACGCGTGCATGTTTGTATGTATGAATGTATACTCATATGCCAGAATGTACATATGTATGTCTGCATGCCTAAATATTTACTTAATACGCCCATAAATGGTGTTCACATTCGGGTGCACACATACATACATATTTTCTGGGTGCGGTGCAATTATTTTTCAAGGCATTCAATTTATTCATTCTACTTTTTTTCTGTGCATAATTTGGCAAATGTTTACATACATATTTACGCTGCTGACGCCGCGACAAACAATTCGGTCAAATGCTCCCAAAATCTAACAAACAAAATCAAAAATGCCCAATTAAAACTTTTGTATGATTAATGCGTGGCGCTACTAATATTCACCACCTTCAATGACCGCAAGTCACAAATCACGCGCACCACAACACACACGCATGCACACAGTTACATGTATGTATGTATATATGTGTGCATTTGCACGTGCTGGCGCATACATAAGCGCCACTTTGGGCTATTTATGCGTCTGGTCATTTGTTAAATTTGCGCCAACTTTCATTTTCAATACAATCAAATAAAGTCGAGAAATTATAAGAAAAATGAAAACGCCAGCAGCAACAACAACAACAGCAAGAATCACACAGAAATTGAATGCAAAGAGCACAGAAGCCAAGTGGTTGCAAGAAANAAAAAAAAAAAAAAAAAAAAAAAAAAAAAAAAAAAAAAAAAAAAAAAAAAAAAAAAAAAACGAGAAACGAATTTGCAATGTCAGCGCATTAATAGAAACATCAATTTTAAAGCGCCGTCAACATGTACTTGAACACGTTGCATGAACGGGCGTCATGACGCGTCAGTGTGTATGTCATACACATACATACTGTGTGTGTGGTGCGACTGCGTGCCCACATTTTGATAAGATTTCACTCAATTCAACCGCAACGTCACTCCTATGGTTGGTGGCGGTGGCACTTGAAACTGGCCGTTTGGCTGCCACTCAGCTTGGCTGTTCCATTGACTGCCTGTCTACCCGCTCGACTTGGCTTTGTTGGGCTCGGCACATCACCCAAAAGCGATCGATTCGTGCGTCATATTTTAACATAAGCCACACACATATATGTACCTGTATTTGTGTATATACATATGTACATAGATATCACAATTTCGCCGTCAAGTCATGCAAAGTCAGTCAGTGTGGCACGAATGCAGACCCTGAAGAGCCACCGCGAGACAACACCGCTGACGCGCTGAGGCCATTTGAATTGTTTTCTTTCTCTTAAATTGTGACATCTAGAAATAACAAATCATAAACTGGAAAGCAGCAGCAGCAGCAGCAGCAGCAGCAATATTCCGAAAAGTAGACCGAGTGTGAGTACTTGTCCCATTAGTTAGCTGCCGGAGTTGAAAGACGCTACCAGAGCTGCTAGCGGCGCTACCGGCTTTGGCGTGATTGCAGCTGCTACGACTTCATTGGACCAATGGCCTGTAGGCCTGCGCGCACTAACTAACCAACTAGGCAGGCAATTGAATATCTAATAAGCTGTTACAAATACATAAATATGAGAAACGCTTTAAGGTGGATCGATTTTTTTGACAAAAATATTCTATGGGCTGAGATTCCCGATATCACCCAAAGTATTATGAATTTTTTAATAAAATTCGTAGGGGTTGTACAAATGCGATTAGTTTTTAAGTTATTCGTTGTTAACATTTCCCCACTGCTTTTTAGCTGCTTACCACAGACCACAACTCGCACCATAAACATGCAGTTTGAGAAAAATTACGCTATTCAGGGGACGGGAAAGTCGCCAGGAGCTTGGTCGATATGGATGAAATGAGGTGGGTTACATCTGCCTACAAGCGCTCTTCTAATACCAGGATTCAGGAAAGGGATAGAGGAAGATCATCAGACCAGCCAAAGTCATAACAACCCATATGAAAAGGACCGTATTTAGACGTATAAGAGACAGAGCTTTTTTTGCGATAAATTATTGCAAAAAAACCAATACGTTTATCTACCAGAAAGGTGAGTCCTTTTCCATAGTCTCAAACGAATAATTAAAACGGCTATGAAGAACAAATAGGTGGCTGTATGTTGCTTTCTGATAGCACCGAGCACTCCTTAGCAGACAATTTGCTTTTGGCGCAAAGGTGCTGCAGTTGCCACATGCCACTGAATAGCAATCATCTTTAAATTCAGGACCACAACTTCCAGTATAGGAAACAAAAAGATGACCACATGGCAGAGTAGTGTGCCCTCTATTACGATTCTTATTTATAGATGAACTACTGGGCCCTCTGATTGGCAACGGCTTCGATCTCTCGGGTTATGCCAAGGACATTTTCATCTTAATAAAAAGGTTGGTTAAGTGATACTATCTCAAACCTCCTTCATAGTTGCCATTAATGCAGTCAAAACCAGTTGAGCAGCAACCACAAGAAAGCTAGCGCACTTTTTCTCAAGGAAAGGAAAAAGGGTCAAACTGCTAGAACAATTTCGTCAAGGAGAAAAGATGTACGCCTCTAAAGAAATCAAATGTCTGGGAGTTATTCTTGATGACAAGCTCGCCTGGAACTCGGTAGGCAATTGTAGACACTTTGGAGGGATCGAGATGATAATCTTACTACAGGGTGTATCA